AACAGCAGCAACAACAACAACACAACTCACAACAACAACAACAACAACAACAACATCATCAATACCAACACCAGCAACATCACGAACACAAGCACGAACGCAGGGAGCAGCAACAACAACCACGACAAGGATTTCTGCAGGAATGCACAGGGTTCCGGAGGCCATGCGAAGCTGGTTCTATTTCAGGGTTTTTTTTCCGAGTGCATTTGCAACGCCCTGTTGTGACATAAACCCTAAAAGCCCAAACCTTATTGACAATTAAGCTTTGGCAGCCAGAACTCAAAACCGTCAGGACTGCGTTGCTCTGTTACCACGCTTCTTGGTCCGAAGCTTTCAAGGAGGGCATGATCAGCGCATGCCTTATGTTCCGGTACACCAACTATGGGCCCTTTGGCCATATTTTCGACTTGCTGGTGGTAGCTCCTGTGGCGGCCGGGGTCTAAGAAATAGCCTCTTACCTTTGCGGGCTTTTCCCAAGGGGTCCAAGTAGCAATATAGTAGGTACTTTGTAGAACATTGGGACCAACAGTATGTACTATACTACTACTTGGACCCTTTGGGTTTTGTATATCTGCAAGGCGCCCCGGAGACTCTTCAAGCTTTTCGCCAGCAGAGCCAACTACTTTGAGCCTCCTCTCAGCGACTCGGAGTGGTACCACGTCGTAGGCATCGAGGCTCCGAGATGCTTGGTCTTGCTTGTGGCCGGTTTCGGATTGGCGATTTACTGCGAGAACTTGGTGCACCGCTACTTTGGACATCGAGTCTTTTCAACCTCGCGCGCTTGGAACCTAGTGCTCGCAGCCATTCCTTGCTACATTGCCATGCCGCCGCTTTTCTTCGCAAGCACACACCGGAGACACCACAAGTACTGCGAGGAGGAGGGAGATCCACATCCGGTCAATCAGAAAGGCTTCCTCTATGGTGCAATGTTCTGGCTTGCCGACCGGGAGAATTTTAAGATCAGAGAGGAATACATCCCAGACTGGCTGGAGGAACGCCCCGAGCTGCTCGTCTTCGAGCTTTGGCAGGCTCAGATCGCGATGGGTGTGAGCTATGTATGTGTGGGGGTACTCAGCATCTTCCTCGCCCCAGTGTGGTTCCCGGAAAACTTCTGGGAGTCTCCGTTCATGGTTGCCTTCCTGACGGGGAAAACGCTTGGGACGGCCATGGTGGCTGCTTTTACGGCTTTCGGGCATACCTGTCCTTTCTGGCCTGCCTGTTTGCCTTTGAGGTGGCCTTTCGGGAGCAAGGGGGATGATCCACCAAAGGCCCAAGCATCCCAAGAAGGCCTCGGCCCATGCATGTCCACACATAGGTCTCTAGGCCGGTCACAGCGATGTTTGTCTTTTTGCGTTGATTGGGTATTTAGGGGGCCTTCTTCAAGGTTTAGGGTTTGGGAATACTGTGCAGAGGATCTAACCACCTAGGTCCTGGTACTGGTGGATGGCAGGGAGCGAATCAGACCACGACCAGCACCATGCATGCCCCATCTATGCAGTCTATGGCCCGTGGTACCACGACTGGTCTTACTGCACCTATGCTGCCATGGAGAAGTGTGGCTTGGTCTGGTCAGTAAAAACACCCTGGGCCAAGGGGTGGAAGCCTCATAGTAGCTGATTTTCGTGGAGATGCTGCCAGATCAGCGCCAACTCGCACAACAGATGCGACGGGCCCTTCCATTTTAGCTGCCAATTCCGAGGAGCAAATGCCTCGCTCAATTTTGCAGTTTGACGCTAGTGCTTGCAGTCACAGCAGTCACTCCGAAGTCCGAAGTGAAATCGCAGCAGACCGCTAAGGATTCAGTGCAGTTCTGTCCTCTACTTACTTGTATGTATATATATATATGCTTTCTCTCTATACACATATATATATATATACATATATATATACATGTATATATATATATAACAGACTAGTTAAAAGATCATAGCATAAACGCATATTGTGGTATATGACTGTTTCAAGTTTGCGCCCCCAATGCCGAAACTCTGCCCCAGCCAGGATGTCTCGTCCCTGCGTCGGCGTGCAGCAGGGCCTCCAGCAGCCAAAGGCCGTGCTGTGTTGGGGGTTTAGGGTTTAGGGGTTTGTGTTTGGGGTTTAGCAGTTAGTCTGTAGGTTTTGTTTGGAGTTTAGCACGCAGAGACTCAATCATATTCCCTAAGGGTCCAAGTAATCATTATTTAAGGACTTTGGGGCCCCAAAATCCATAAATAAGGACTGCTTGGACCCTTAGGGATTGGCATCAAGCCTGCCAAACCATGTCGCCGGATCAACCCGAAGCAGGCACTTCCATCTGCACGAGGCTGCACGGCTCATTTACACCAAGATCTGCATAGCCAAGCAAGGTTGCTTCAAAGTTTACAAGCCGCTCAATACGGCAAGCCTCCCATGTACTCCCAATGCCATGCTTGAGCAAGCCCGCAGAGGCATGGAACCCTAAACCCTAAACCCTAAAACCCTAAACCCTAAGAACTACTCATGCTTGTCCTGAGCCCTTAGTCCCTGATCGCCTTCACTCGACCCTTGCTCGTGTCCAGAAACCCCTACACACCTCAGGGTTTGGGGTTAAGTTTAGGGTTTAGGGAAACCAAAGCCAGCAAGTACCTGAAACAATCTAAAATGTCGAAGCTTTAAAATCCTATAAGCCCTACGCCCCATAGCCTAACCCCAAGCCCTGAAGTCTAGAACACTAAACCCTAAAATGGACACTAAGACACTAACTATATATACATCATTATTACTGTTGTGATCGTTTTTATCAGCATTATTGCCATTATATTATTTAACATATTATTATTAATTTTGTTTCTGTAGTGTTATCATTATCCTTTTCGAGTGTTATAACCCTTGGACCTCGTAGGCGCGCCTGTCCCGCGGGCGCAACCGGACATTGTGGAGACCGTGCCGCTGAAGCCCACAGCCGAGGAGAGACTCCTTGGGTTTAGAGTTGTTTTTTTTTTTTT